ACGTAGAAAAAACACCATGAGCCTTGAGCAGCTCAAGCGTGTGGTAACTCTTCCAATGGACGTTTCGAGAGCCGGTGATTACGACACTGGCTTTGCCTGTTCGACGCTCTTATTCTTCTCCAATCAAACCGTTTATTGCTTTCAATTTTCTTCTCCCTTAGCGTAGTATCTCGAAATGAAAAACTCGGACGTCGACGTGACAGAGCGGGGCCTCTCGACACGATCAGAGGCTATGGATAGAGGCACGAATGGGAGAGTACCGAAGCATCGTTTTCTTCGTGGTCTCTTCCTCCCCGCGACGACCATGATGAGAAAAGTATGATTCGCCCAAAGCGAGCTTTCCAGCGGCGTGATGCGTCACGCCTTGGAGACGTCCGGTCCGACAAATATCTGCCGAGACGCTCGACGTTTTTCTTTCCTCTCTCGGTCGCGGACTCCTCCAGCGAGCTACAATCGGCTCTTCTTTTGTTTCCACGTAAGAGAAGGAGAGAGGTCGACTCTATCGAACACCTCCATCTGTAGTCCGAATCCGCGGATTTCGAATACGGTCGGCCCTCGATTCCAAGCCTTGTATGTGAAGGATTTCTCGAGATCTCTTCATTAGATCCTTTCAGCTCCATTTGATGGATCGCGAGAAGATTGACGGAGGAGCTCCCGCAGATCTGTCCGCGATCGGGACGTTAAATCGTCGACCAGCCTTACTCCCCTTGGTCGAGTGGGTTTCTAGCTTCTCCGGAACTGAGCCAGCTTTTCTAAGAAATCTTTTCTTCCAGGACGCACCGAGCGATCGATATCGAAGAGTCAGCGGCGGAAGGCTTTTATGACGACGAGCAGCATCCGTCGCGCGTCACCACAATTCGAGAACTGCATGTTTTCCCAAAAATGACAGAAAAGAAAAACCCTCAACTACCAGACCAAGCTCGTTCTAACACTCTAACCGACGTAAACACGAGCCATGACGTTGGTTAACGCCGTGTGTTTCATTCTCAGATATGATTTCCGCTGCTCCGTTCTGTGGGTCACTCGACAAGCCAGAATGTCAGACTGTGAAGAAAGGCCGCCGGAGAACGTACGCTGACAACGACCCTGAATGCAAATATAGGTGAGTCGATCCACGATACGACTATAACCACCTGAGGGCTTGGACGCTGCGGACGTTCAAGACTTCCGGGGCTTGGACTCGGCTTCGGACCGAACCTTTATTCGAAATTTCTCTCCGTAGGTGTGATACATGCTCATTCGTGACCAAATGGCCGTCGGATCTCAAAAGACATCAGAGAACACACACCGGCGAACGGCCATATCCTTGTGGAGTGTGCGGGAAACGTTTCTCGCAGCGAACCACTCTCCGTAATCATCATCACTCCAAGCACCCAGAGATTGAGCTGAAAGAGCTACCGTCGATAGCTCATCACGGTCGGCCGGGACGATACGTTTTCAATATGATGCCGTCCGAAACAGAAGAATCCGAAGAGGACCGCGTTGCTCAGGACGTCAAGGAGCTCATTCCCATGCCTGCTCACAGTTCGTCAATTTTTGACTTGCTCAAGCTCAAGATGCAGAGGAGCGACTTCCTCACGCCATCCGGTTCTCTACAACACTTCCCACTCGATTTCCGGACGTCGTCGTAGTTTGCGGTTCTCCGTGGACCACTAGAGATCTGTTGTTGCCTCGTAGCCTTGTTTTACACGGGCATTGATGCCTAGCCATAAGAGTGACGTCGTCAGTGCGACAATCGTTGACGCTGTTGTTGTTGCTGCTGTCGGTGCAGTCATAGGACCGATGTTGATGTTGCCATGCTGTTTGTTGGCCATTCGAATCTCGCACGAATCTCTGACTGAGAGGCTGATCTGAGTTTTTGCTTTCGGGGCAGCTGATCGAGACTCGACATGACTCGCAATTCGCTGGAGCTCGGGAGAAGAAGCAGGATCCCGAATCGAAAAGCTCACGTGGAACGCCTACGCAGAGTTGACCACAGGCCATGTTGAGAGCAGGAAGTAGTATGGCTACGGAAGCGGACGCTCGGAAGGGATTACTCATCCCTCTTCCGACCTAGTTCATCCTCTCTTTTGGGACTATCGATCGCCGACTCTACTGATTTCAAATTGATTCAATCATCCGGGTGCTCGGTTGAGCATCCGGTCTCTGGTATGATCGATGAATTCGCGCGCGGATTGAGGATCGATACTTGTGATTGGGCCATCGCTGACCCTATCGGCTGTATATTCCCATATCGAGGCAGAAGAGAGTTCGTATATTTCGATTCGACGATCAGCTGCTCCTCTGAATCTGGATCCAAAATCTCGTCGGTGTAGAATTCATTCCGGTCTGGGAAAACTCGGTCTAATACTCACTTACTCTGTGCGCCATATAGAGAATCCAAGTTGGCTCGTCGAGATCAGTCTGTAAAAAAAACGCTCGATTTTACTCAGGTAGCTCAAGCAGTCTGAAGATATGATATCTCTAGGTAAATCACGACCAATATCTACCTTCCAGAGAAGTGCCTGTAGTATCGGGGACACCACTGCCATAATAAAGGGACCCCGAAGCGCGTGGAAGATTATCGGCGAGAGGTCAGAGAGACAGAGAGTATGCTTGGAAGCGAGGATGTCACTCGAAATGTTATTTTTCTGCCCGAATCCTCAATGTTCCCAGGAGCTTGAGGATCATTAAATTCCGTCGCGTTCGTTTTTTATACTTGCACGGAGATTTATCGAAGTGTTGACCAATTGATTGTTATTCCGAAGAAGAGAATCTCGTTCTATACTGTTTCTCTATTTATGGATTGATCTGCTGTTCGATTGATTGACTGATCGATTGGATGATAGGTAGATGGATACAATGATTCACCGACTGGAAGATTGGCCCTTGATGGCAACACGTTGCTCCGAGGACTCGACGAATCATCATTGGCTGGATGTTCGTGGAAATAAACGATCAAAAACATTATCGAAAAACACACTCCTCTAATAACAACCATTCGTGAACCAGGAAAAAAAATCACGAATTGGTATGCGGGATTGTCTCCCGAGCCAGTGAAGGTCAATCAAGAGGATATCGCCGATGCTTTATGGCCCATTACGTGGCACGTCGTCTTCGGCGTGATTTGCGGGTTCAGACATTAAATCAGAGCCGCGGAATAAGGCGGGGGCGAGGAGGATCTTCCTGGCCGCTCCCGGGAGGGAAGAATTCCGCGCGAAGGACGGAGAATATGAGGAGCTCCCAACCACCTGTACGATGCTTAGATCGAATTCGGTGAACGGCACCACTCGGTAGCCAGATTATAACTTCTCTGCAGAGGAGTGACGTCCGCCTCCTCAGTGAGCTCCGAGCTTTTTATCGTCTTTCTTCCATTTTGCAGACGGGCCCACTTCGCATTGTTCACCCGCCCGGAGTGCTCTCTGTGTCCTTGATGATTTTCCCATCTTCAATTTGGGATGAGGAGATTAATACCTCGTAACAAAGATGATAATGCGACGCGGTGAATTCATTCCCCGAAATTCCACCATTGCAAAACGCGAGAGATCTGTATGTGTCGCTCTGGAGGATGTGGCCTTTAAACCTTGGCTGTGTGGATCAGCCCGAAAAAGTTTTCTGGAGGATGCGGCCGTGTGCGGCTAAAGTAGACCCGAACTTCTCTCACTCAGTGACCAGCAGCTCGAAGCATCTTCTCAATTATCACGGCGACGAGACTCATTTCGGCGGAAGCGGTAGGGGGAAGCGACTCCGCTACTTTCAGCAGAGGTGTGGAGACTCGCCTTTTTTGTTTCCGGAATATTCAGACACGGAGACGTCATCTGGTGAACCGTAATTTTCATTGACAGCAGTCGCGCTCTTCAGTTCCGATGGCCTTTGCAATTATGGAATCACCAAGATCTTCCTCCACTTACATCTCGTCCGCGCAACTGCTTTCCGCTTCGATCGGAGTTTCCAGGGGACCGAGGCCGACCGCATCGGTTTCGCATGTGAGGGCTGAGAGTCGGAGGCGGGATTTTCAATTTGTTCCTCATGCGCCCCTCTAGCGACGTCATCGGATGATCGAATGCGGATAGATGGGAAGTGGAGACTTCATTCTTCCTCCGCACTTCGGGCGTCATACATTAGTCTTCGTAGCTGTGGAATCAGTGTCTCGATAGAACAGGTCGACTTGAGAAGGCTCGAGGCCCGATTCGAACCGGGATGAGGTTCGTGGTGAGCAAGATTCTCATTCTTTCCTGCAGATCACTGCGATAGCCACCGCCTGTCTGGCGGCTTCACGGGGAGGGGGGGGGAGGAGGGAGGTGAACTGAGAAAATCGAAACGCCAGTACCCAGTTCCCGATGAAGCAACTACCGTGAATAACCCAAAAGAGCACTTTCGAACACACGAGCAGTTTCTGATAAAGGAGCAGGTCTTGGGGGCTCCAAAAGAGATGCAGTCTCTGACGGACGGGCACTCTCTAGAGCCAAAAATTTCGTATGCATGTACGAAAGAGTGGAAAATATCCGCGGAGAGGACTTTGATTGACTATTCCGTATGGTTTGCGTATCGGTACGATGGATCCTGCGGTGTCCGCACTCAGGAGAAATTTCGCTCTATCTTCATCCAGGGAAATGGAAAAATGAGAAGGTTGGCCTCTCAAGATACGAGTAGTTTCCAACGAACGAGCAGGCTCTGGAGGCTTGAGGAATGGTCGAGCTTATGATTCGAATATAATTTTTTGGGTAATAAAACTTCTGGAGGGGGAAGAACATGAAAAATATGACAAAAGAAAATACACAGATATGACTCGCCTCTCCTGGGCTTCCCCATCTGCACTCGGTATCGACGACAGGAAAATACTTTTTCCCTGCTTTCTCCTCGCGAGAGCTGTCGGTCGAAACTTCTCCTCGGGTAAGAAAGAGAACACAGATGATTATGAGCATATAACTTTATCATTGTCGACGACTGACTAGTGTCTTTACATTATATTACAAAACCATCAAACTCCTCTCGTTCTTCGTTTGTCTTTCCCTGATATTCGACCATAGCACGCAAACCTCCTGCTAGATTCTGAGCCCGTCCCACAGAGAACCTCGCGGAAGAACAGCAAACCCCCGAGTTTTCTTCTGTTCCGATTGCTTTTGCTGTTCCGAGTTATTGCAAGTCCGAGCCCACGATATTAACGCCAAACATAGAATTCTCCCAACCGGAGGTCCCGATTCCTTCGGCGATAGCTGCAGGAAATTCAGCCGCGGTTCGGATCACCCGCCATCGACAGAGAACATGGCGGCCAATGAGTCGATCAATCGGGTTATTGACCGTAGACGAACGAAAACTTTGAAAATAATCTCCCTAGAGTAGCATGGTGTGGGGCTGCTCGAGATAAGTCCTGAAGGACTGCAACCACTGGGCGCCCACGGCACCGTCGACCACACGATGATCGCAAGTCAAGGTGACCCTCATTATTTTCACCGTGCGATATCCATTCTCTTTGCAGGGCCTGGCGATCTCGCTCGTCCTCCCGACCGACAAGATGCAAGACTGTGGGAGAGCATCGAGTTAGCGAGCGATTTCCCATAGGAGAACTCGACCGAAAAAATTGGAGAAAAGAATTCCCACACATGGGCAACTCTCCTTTCTCCGTAACAAGAGCGGCTCGAAGACTCACCTGGGGCGGGTTGATGATTGCGGTGAATTGATCTACACCAAACATCCCTAGGTTCGATACGGTGAACGTCCCTCCGAGGAATTCGGCCGGTTGAAGTTTCTTCTCCCGAGCTTTCCCGGCGAGCTCCTTGGTGTTCTTGCTGATCTCCAGCAAACCTGCAGATACCAAGAGAGAAAACTCATGGGGCATGGTATTCATGGCTTTCGCCCGTCTGTCCCTCATCGCGGATTATGTCATGAAATCCTGAAGCGAAGTCCGATTGGGCTCTTCTCACACGACGGGTACCTTTGGAGTCGGCATTGAAAACTATTGGTGTTATGAGTCCGTCCGGAGTCGACACGGCTACGCTCACATCTACGGCCTTGAACTCGCGAATGAATGTGTCCATAAATGAAGAGTTGGCAGCTGGAACCTTCTTACACGAGAGTGCGGAAGCCTGGAAAGGGACACCTGCATTTGATCAAAGTCCTGGTGCGAAGCTCCTCCGCGTTAAGCCTAAGTCCTGGTGCGAAGCTCCTCCGCATTAAGCCTAAGTCAATTAACCCGGGTTGAATACCTTGACGATGAAGTCGTTCACCGAGAGTTTGCCGTCCTTGAGGTTGCTATTGAGCTCTTCGCGCAGCTTGAGCACTTCATCCATTTCAATCTCAACGGTCAATGAGTAGTGAGGAATCTGCTGTTTGGACTCGGTGAGCCTCTTCGCAATGGTTTGACGCATATTGGTCAGGTCGATGTCAGTGTATCTGAAGCTAGGAACTCTCTCAGCAGCAGCAGTTGCAGCACCAGCTCCGGAACCAACAGCGCTAGCAGGTTGAGCAGCATTGAGATCAGCCGCTACGATCCGACCGCCGAATCCGGTGCCTGCCACTGAAGCCAAGTCAAGACCCTTGGCAGCAGCCAGGGCTTTAGCGAACGGAGATGCTTTGATCCTCTGACCTGGGACGCTTGGGATCGCCGGTCCCGGCGCCTGCGTTATCTGAGCCGCAACTGGTTTGGGAGCCGCGGGCGCGGGTGTCGGGGCGGCGGCTTTGGGAGGTGGAGGGCTCGCGGCACCGGTGTCTTTGAAGTCCTTAAAAGCGGCTACATCGCCCTCTTCCGAAACGATGATGCAAAGGAGTTTTCCGAGGGGAACGTCCTTGGATCCGGCGGGTAGGATGATCTTCGCAAGATAGCCTTCTTCGGGAGTTTCAAACCCCATGGTTGCTTTGTCGGTCTCGATCTCACACAGAAGATCACCCTCGTTCAATTTGTCGCCTTCCTGTTTGTCCCAAGACACGATCGTTCCCATCTCCATGGTTGGTGAAAGGGCGGGAAGAACAACTTTCGAGTGCGATGGCAGATTTCCTGGGGGAAGAAGAATTTTAGTCCGCTGAAGACTGTATACCATCTTCCCATTGACCCAATCGTCATCAGAATGTGGCACTCTCCGTTACAACGTGGAATCTATGTGATTTGCTGCCGCGAATCGCCAGGGGAAATCATTTACCGGAGCTGTAACACCTGATTTGAGAGCGCAGTCTTTCCGGCTCCAAAATAGAGGCAACCTTCTGCATGGCGGCAGCATTGCGGACACTGTGAACGAATATCGAACATTCCGTGAGGCTCGGATTCCTTAACTCATGATTCTTCATAATATAATTATTATTATTATCATCTTCATATATATCCTTAATACCCGATACCCTCACTCGAACAGAGCGTTCGGCTCGAACCGCTCTCGTCACGTGCCATTCCCGACTAACCGACTAAGTCTCTCCCCCCTTAGTTCCGGACTGCTCCTCCACCTCAAGAACGATCGACATCGAGCCCGAGGCGGATTTATTTCAAAATGAACAATAGCCGCTCTAGGTTTCTTTGTAGGGATTTCTTGTGAAGAAGAGGATTTCCTCTGAATGTTTTCCCCCTTCTCATTTTTCATCGAATAACCGCTCGGCGTGTCATCGAGAGCAGCTTTCGATTGTGTGGTTGAGATAATCATATCTATGTCGAATGCGCGGGACCTACTAAGAGGATTCGCCTCCCGGGATGCGCCCTGCCCGAGCACGGTTTCGAACACAGAGCTTCTGATCTCCAAAGACCCTCTGGACAGAATGTCTGCGGTTCTTCGAGACCGGCACTATCATAGAGTCTCATGAGTAGCTCCCAGTACATTAAACAGGCAGTGTATCGGCTTCAGAACGTCTAATAGTTCGATAGCGCGACCTTGCTAGCAGTGACCTTCTCTAATGCCTTTCACGAAACTTTGCCCAACGTGAACTCACATGAGGTGCGTCGCTGCTCCCCTGCTTATCACGACTGGGGATATTCTTCGAGCCGTATGGACAACGGCCTGTGTGATAGGCCTTCGGAGCATCTTTCTACGATGTGCTCACCCCCGTCAGCGAATGTTCGTAAGAATAACAACTGCCTGAGTGCCACTGGTTAGAGAGAGTTGGAGAGTGCGGAATGCCTTTCCGAGTGTTAAAGGATCCCCGGCGAGCTGCAGTGCAGTGAGGCTAGGACATGTTCCGATATTTAGAGAATGAGCTGCGTCGCACAGTGGGGCCAATTCGAATTTTTTTGTGGAACAAAATATGTCATTGATTCTATCGACGGATTTCGCTTCCTCAAGTCGAGATTCATTCAAAACTCGGTGTCTGCAAGCTTTCTCGCGATGTGAGGAGGCCCTGGAGGTCCACAGAGGAAAGGATCAGTCGTCCGATAATTTTTTTTCCGCCGAGACAAAAGGATATTCCCTGGATGAGCATCATCGAATCCGACTTTATTCAATATCCTGAGATTCCCGCCGAGCGTCGGGATGGATCATTCCTCCAAAGAATCGTCGCTTGCGCTCATTTCGGAATCATCTGGGGTTATAACACAATGGATTTCTCCTGAGACATTACCTTGGG